GTTTTACTGGCGATCAGAACCGAGCGCTGGGAGAGTCTGGGGCTGCCCGGCGCCCCCTGGCCCTGTCCTTTGAAGTCCCTTCACGGGCGGGAGGCTGGTCCCAGCAGACGACCCCCCACGCCCCCCCCCCCGGCCCCCAGCAGCTGGCACAAGGGCCGTCCCTGATCAAAGCCCCCAGGTCCACCTCGCGGGCCAGCGGCTGCCTCCTGTGGCCCCTCCCCCCTTGGGGTGACCTCGCTCCTGGGGATGCCGGAGTGTCCTCGGCGCCCACACCCTGGTCTTACCCCCTGCTCCTCGGGACCAGCAGCCTGTCCAGGACCCATGGGGCTGGGAGGAGCCCGTCCGAGGGCCTGTGGGGCCGAGGCGAGCGCAGGGCTGGGTGTCAGCTGGGTGCTGCTGTCCCCACTGCGTCTCACACACCAGCTGACGGCCGTGCTGTCCTGGGCAGCAGGCCTGCGCAGAGGGGCTGGGGTCCAGCGCCATGTGCTGGGGAGCCCTTGGCAGCCCTGCCCCCTCCTCCCCAGGCGGGGGGCTGTCTGCCGCATCACCCCCGCATACCCGCCCAGTGGCTGGGTTGCGTGTGGTCCTCGCTGTACCTGGTGGGCGCTCGTGGACACCCTGGGCCCACCCACAGCTGGGCCCGGCCGTCCTGGCAGGCGCAGGCTGGAGTGTCCACTGTGGCCAGTTGGCAGTCGGGGCCCCGGCAGGAGCTCGTGTCTCAGCGCAAACGGGAGCGACCCTGCCGAGAGCTGTGGGGAGGACAGGCGTGTGGGGCGCCCCTGCAGAGCAAGGACCCTGCTCGCGCACCTGGGCTTGCCCCGTCCCACCTGGTCCCCGGGGGCGCTCTCTGCGTGGACGGCTCCAGGGACTCCGGCCTGGAGGCCGCTGGCTGCAGGTGTGCGCCTGTCCTGGGCGCCTCACAGGCGGTGTGGGGACTCGGCCAGGCCTGGTGGATGGGGAGGCCCGGCTGCACCCGCGTGGATGTCCTTCGCTGCTTTTGGGGGTGTCGATGTGCTTCGTTCACGGGGACAGCCCGGCACGTGTGGCTGCCTCAGCCCAGTGTCTGGCAGCCGTTCTTTACGTTTGGAAAAAACTCAGCTCATTTCTTTGTGACATGAGTGATTTGTATTCGTGGTAGAGAAGTTGAACAATTCAGAGAAGACAAAAGAAAGACGAAAACCCTACTTTCTCAGTGCCCAGACTGGACCACTGTTCGTGTTTCGATGTGAAGCCTCCCGACCTTTTCACGGCGTCTCTGTGAATGCTGACCACATATGTGCTGCGGTCCCGCCTCGTGCACGCCTTTCTGCATCAGCAAGGTCCCCTCCCCGGTGTCCACGGCCCACCGTGTCCCTGTGACGTGCTCACGCGGTGGGGCAGCTGTCGGCTGGGCTGGGTTTGTCACATAGTCACCGGTAACTCACACAGGCGCACGCGGGTGGCTGTGCGGGCCGGGAGGCGCAGGGGTGGCCCTGGGTGGTGTCGCTCTGTCTCTCTCAGTCCCGGGGTGGACAGCGCTTCTTGGGGACCCGTGGTGTCAGGAGCTGCGGCTCCAGGGTGGCCTCTGCTCGTGACCTGAGCCCGAGGACCGCAGGAGTGTGTGTCTGGGCTCCTCCTGGCGGCGTGGCCCCTCGCTGGTGGGTGGGCCTGGGCGGTTGGTGTTGCTGGGTGCTGTGCCCAGGCCCGGGTGAGGCGGCATCCCCTGGGCGTGAGGTTCGAGGCCTGAGGCCTCGGTGCTGGCAGGAGGGTGAGGGGACGTGCCCCAAGTGACCTTTGCCGGGGCTTGGGGCGTGGGATCCGCCGTCCTGCTGCCCGCGCGGCTCGGAGCTTCCCCTCTGCGGAGCCCCAGCGCTGCCGGCCTCTCCCCTGTGCTGCCTCTCCCCTGTGCCGCCAGCGGCTTTGATGGCATCCACGTGCTCCGGTGCCTCCCTGTGGAGGGCGGCCGGCCCTGTGAGTAACTCGGGAGGTTTGGCCCGCGTCCTGCGCCGTGATTCACCGGGGCCCGCGGCCCCAGGGACACGCCTGGCATCCTCTCCCACCAGATCCCGCTGGAGCGCGGCGGGCGGGAGGAGGCAAACCCCCATGGAAAAGCTGGGAAGTCTGAGGTTGAGGTCACCTCCGAATAGTTCTCACATTTTTCCTCCATGTGTTATCCCGTCCTGGAAAATTACTGTCAAGAAAAGGAAACCTCGGCGGGCGGGCGGAGCGACCACTTCTGACACCACGCGCCTTCCCGTGGCCTCCCGGGCCCCGCCGGTGGCCACTGCCCCAGCCCTGCCACAGCCATGGCCATGGCTGTGGTCCTGCACCACCGGGTCCTCACAGCGCCCGTGCCTGGGCCGGCCAGGGTCGAGCGTCGTCTAGCGCGCGGGTGCTGAGGCCACCGCCCTCCACCCTGCCTGGCGCCTCCGGGGGCCTCCGGCCGCCGCCTCCTGTCCCGCTTTCTGCACGTCCTCTTGGGATAGGACGAGGCCCGTGCTGAGCAAACACCGCTGCGCCCTCGGGGGCGGGGTGCATGTGCACGGCGGGGGGTGGGGCACGTTTGCACCACAGCGTGGTGTTTGCGTCTCTTTGCAGGTGTCCGCTGCTGTGTCTGCCAGCCTTCTGCGCAGTGACGTCTGTCAAAGCAGAGAGCTGGGGTGGGGGAAGCAGCGGGAGGGCGCCACGCCGCTCTCCACCCCCGCCTTTGCTCCTGCGCAGGAGGCCTCGGTCTGCGGTGCCCACGGCACTTGTGCAGAACCGCCCATTCTGTCCCCCAGCACCGGGAGGGCACGTCTCCGGGCGTGGGATGTCCTGGGCGGCCCTGGGCCTCCCCGCGCAGGCCGGGTCTGGCTGCCCCAGGGGTCCGTGCCCCCCTCACTGCGTCTCCCCCCCCCCCCCGCGCATGAGTCCACCGAGGACGGGAGCCTCGTGGGAACCGTTGCTGCCGGCAGAGTCCCGTGGACAGGGCCGGCGGGCCCCCAGCCCTGCTTCTCTCTGCTGGGGAGACTCAGTCTCGGGAGGCTCCGTGGTGAGCGGACGGGGGCGGCGTCTCCCCACGCTGCCCTCTGTCACTCAGCAGCACAGTGACGTTTCCTACCAGCCCAGCCGCGGTCATATGCTCTCGGAGACTCGGGTGGGCTGGCCCCGGCTCGGCAAGGGTGTCGTCCCTGTCCCCCGCCACTCCAGCCCCTGTGGGGACCCTGGGCTCTGGGGCTGTGTGACAGTAGAGGTGTCCTGCCTAGAGCGGAGACGTTGGAGGGCAGGATCTGGAGTGGGTCAGAAGAGTGACGTGTCCCGTCAGTTTTATTTTTCAGCTGGAACTCAACAGCCCCTGGGCAGCACAGGGCTGACGCCCGCTGTCCCTGCACCCTGTCCTGGAACGGGCCTGGGTGTGGACATGCCACGACCCGCCGTCCTCCTGGTGAGGCCCAGGCTGTGCCCAGAAGGGCCTGGGAGAGCCCAGGTGGCCTCGTCTCCTCGGGGCTTCTCTGTCCTCTGCCCAGGGGTCGTGTCGGGGGACGGGGGCCTGTCTGGGTGGCCAGGCTCAATGCCACACGAGCAGCTGCACTTCGCCTGCTGCAGAGACGCAGTGCAGATTTCTGGGCGACGGTTGTGCGCAGGGCTGGCTTCTCCAGGGCAGGGTCTGGAACAGGCCACGGAGGGACCTGCTCCGTGACTCGGGGCTCTGTGCCTGGGCGGCGTGGCCGCTTTTGCGTCAGGATCCCAACCTGCCGCTGCCTGGCCCGGGCACTGGTGGAGGCCGCGGCTCCCAGCTCAGGGTGCGTCTGTGTCCTGCCCTCCCCTCCTCTGGGAGCCCAGGCACGCTCGCTCGCGGCCTCTGGAATGCAGGCACTGGGCTGTGGGGGGCAGCCTGGCGCCGGGTGTCTTGTTATAAAAAGCTCTGGTGCAGACGGCTCTCGGCCGCTGCAGGATGGTTGTGGCTTTGAAGGGGCAGCCCCCGGGGGCCTTTGCCAGCCACCTGTGGGCCTCGCCGCCCAGGCCTCAGCCACACTCCCTGGCCACGGTGTCAGGACGCTGACCGAGGTCAGAGAGGCTCCCTGGCTAGAGCCAGGGCTAGTGCTCGGGGGACCCTCGGGGTGTCAGGTGTGGCTGGAGGCAGCCCCAGAGTCACCAGGGAGAGGCGTGTGTGTGGCAGGTGCGGCCTGGCCGGGCCCCAGCAAGGTGTGTGACATGCTGGGCCCCGGATGCTGTGCGGGGCCGGTCCCCAGGGCAGGCTGGTAGCCTGGGAGGCTGCAGAAGGGACAGAACAGAGCGGATCGTTCCCATAGCCTAGAGCTGTCCCCAGGTGTCAGGAGCAGGACGGGGGATCCCTGTGGAGATGGGGCTGGTGGGGTGGAGGGGGAGGAGCAGAGCTGGCTGCCCCCAACGGCTCTGGGTGGTTTTGTGTAGACGGACGGGGCCCAGCATGGACCCTTTTGGCCCAGCCGGGCGCCTTGGTCAGGCCTGGCTCCGTGGTGGCCTCAGCACCAGGAGTCACCACCCGCCGCACCACGAGCGGAGCAGGCCCTGCCTTGTAATCTTCGCTGCCGTTGATGGCAATTAGGAGTGACACTGTCCCCCTGCGTCCCTGGGGGTGGCGGGGGCAGAGGGGAGGTGGCCTGCTCCCAGGGGGCAGGCGGCATGGAGTCAGCCAGGCTGCGGGCTGTGGTCCAGAGGGCAGCAGGGGCAGCGGGGCCGGCCAGGATGGGGTTTTTGCCGACACTCTAATTTGGTGGCTGTCACCCTCACACCCCAAAGAGCCCCCGACGTGGCCTGAGCCTGACTTCAGGGCCGCATGCCCTGCCGGCGAGCAGAGTCTCGGCATCGTGTTGCCACGGGCAGGGCAGGGGCCCAGCCTGCTCTCCCCTGCCACCCTCGGGACCCAGCCTCGCCCCGTCGGGGGGAGACAGAGAGCTGGGCTCCCGCGTCTCTACGCTCCTCCAGCTGGGGGACCCCCGCCCCCGTAGAGCCGAGAGCCTGCTGTGCAGCTTGCCGCCAGCTGTGCCCTCTGCCCCCAGCCCGAGGACCAGGCGCCCGTGGACCGGGAGCCGGTGGTGTGCCACCCGGACCTGGAGGAGCTGCTGCAGGCCTGGCCGGCAGAGCTGCCCGACGAGTTCTTCGAGGTGACGGTGGACGACGTGCGGAGACGCCTGGCCCAGCTCAAGAGCGAGCGGTGGGTGCCGCACCCCGGCCCCTCTGCCGGTTTGCCCTGTGTCCGGGCTGCCGCAGCCGCCCGCTTCCCTCTGGGCCCGCAGCCCTCAGCAGCACCAAGGGGTGTGGCCCAGGTGGGGGCTTCCCGCCCCGCCCTGCCCAGGGGGGGAGCGGCCTGGGGGCCTCCATGCAGGGAGACCTGTCCTTCAACCCTCCCCACACAGGAAGCGCCTGGAAGAAGCCCCACTGGTGACCAAGGCCTTCCGGGAGGCCCAGATGAAGGAGAAGCTGGAGCGCTACCCAAAGGTGTGCGGGCCTGCGCGGCGGCCCCAAGGCTCCCGCCCGGGGACCTGGCATGGCGCACGCAGCCTGCGGTCACTGGTGGTGGGTCGGGCGCTTCCCCAGCGGCTGTGTGAGGTGGCGCGTTAGCCCAGTGATCCAATTGAGGTTCTACGATGAAAAGTTCAAATAGCAAATCTGAAACCCAGCGTGAGCGCTGACTGTCCTTGGCTACAGCCAGTGGCACGGGGAGTTGAGGCCACAGCTCTGGTAGGGCCAGGGTGCGGCCAGGGCGTCTGCCTGCCCCAGGCCTGGTGCCCATGGGCCCGGCCGTCACCGCTGACCACCCCGCTTGTCCCCACCCAGGTGGCTCTGAGGGTCCTGTTCCCTGACCGCTACATCCTGCAGGGCTTCTTCCGCCCCAGCGAGACAGGTGAGCAGCCTGGATGGGCCGCCCAGTTCTCCCCCTGGGCCTGGGGCTGTGGGCGCCTGGCCCTCCAGCTCTAAGGAGACCAGGCCGCTGTGGGCTGCTGTCGTCTGCATGGGACGCACGGGCATCTGGGCTTGCCGGGCGCCAGGTGGGGCTGCGCCTCGGCCATGGGCCGTGCTCGCCCGGGTGCTCAGCCCCAGCTCCCGGGAGCCGTGGTCCTTGGTGCTCTTATCCCCTGCTCACTGGGCCTGTGTGGGAGCAGTGGGGCACCCAGAGGAAGGGCCCAGGGCTCCCCACCCTCGCAGCTGCCGCTCGAGCTGCTGCCACGGTCAGCGTGCGCCCGAGGTCTCGGGGGGCCTCCCGCAGGTCCCCTCGGGCTGGGGCAGGGGTGGGGCGAGAGGCCTGGTGGAGACACCCCAGCCAGGCTGGAGGGGCGGCCCTCTCCCGAGGCACGGCGGGGTCCCCTGGTGGCCTGGGCGGTGGTGCCATGACAGGAGCAGGGTTGAGATCCCACCTGGGCTTGGCTTGTGCCCCAGAGCGCGGGAGCCACGGGCCTGCGTGGTCTCACGAAACCTGCTTTCCCTCCTCCGCAGTAGGGGATTTGCGAGACTTTGTGAGAAGCCACCTGGGGAACCCAGAGCTGCCGTTTCACCTGTGTGAGTTCTTTCCTCCGAGCCTCTGGGCTGGTCGGGTGGCAGAGACTGCCCTGGGGACGCCAGCCTTGACCCACCCGGCTGGGGCTCAAGGCAGCTTCCTGGGAGACGGCGGGGTGCGGCTGGCACACCGAGGCCACAGCACCCCTGTTGGGACCTGGGGGGCTGGAGCAGAAGCCCCTTCTCCCCCAGGGTCCCTGCCGGGTCCCTTGGCGCGTCTGGGTGTGAGGTCTGCCTGGCCGCCCCCAGGCCCTGGCCGGGGTTTGTAGGGCCGGAGCAGAGCTGGGCAGAGGCCGCAGCCTGGGTCCCCTGGGGCGGCGCGCCCTTCCTGACACAGCCGCTCCTCCCCACAGTCATGGCCCCTCCGAAGACTGTGCTGGACGACCACGCGCTGACCCTCTTCCAGGTACCGGGAGGGCGAGGCCTGCGGTCGGGAAGCAGCGCCCTGGCAGCCGCTCCCGGCGGATAATGCGGCCTTTTAGAGCCGGGGGGCGCGGAGGGCGCGGAGCGTCTCTGAAGTCGTTCCTGACGGGGCTTCCGGCCTCCTCCGCTTCCTGCCTGGCCCCGGGCGGGGACGGCCTGGCTGGCCGGCTGTCCGAGCTGGGGCCGCCCGGAGGTCTTGGCCCCGGGCTGCTGGGCTGGGGGTAGCGCCGGCGCCTTGCAGGGCCTGGGCGAGGGAGGGGCCTGGCGGGCAGGTGGGGGCCTGATCGGGGCGGCCGCCTGGTGCGATGCCCCTTCCTCCTGGGCCTGGCCGGCCTCCCCGCTGCCCCGCCTGTCCCTGCCCGGCCGCCGCGCACCCGAGCATTCCCGGGGTGAGGGGAAGTGGCGGGCGCTGGGTCCCGGCCTCTGGGCTGCCTTCCAGGCCCCGGAGGAATGAATGTCCTGTCTCCTCACCCCTGGGGGGCGCAGCCTGGGCCTCCCCAGCCCCTCTAGCCGCCTAATGGTTTCCTCTTCAAAGTCTCTCAGTTGCTTTAATTAACAACAGAGGTGGCCCCCTTTCAAGTGGCTGGCAGGCTTCTCCCGCGGTCTGGGAGAGGGTGACGGGTGAGACGGGGCCGGCTGTCCGCAGGCGTGGGAGGCCGGCCAGGGACGCGGGGTGCCCTGCGGCGGCGGGGCCTGGGGAGGGGAGACCCGGTGCCCTGAGCCCGAGCCTGCCCTGCTGGCCCCCTCGGCGCTGGGCGTCTCTCCTCCCCCACTGGCCAGCCGGTCGGTAAACACTGAGTTTGGAAGATGCTTTGGGCCAGAGGAGCACCCGCACCCGGGCCCCAAGCCCACCCCTCAATTAAGAGGCCCCCGAGAGCCCTGGGGGCCGCCTTCCACCCACTCCCCTGATTCCTGGTGACACTCTGCCCACCAGTTGCCCTCTCCTGTCATCCGTCAGCTGGGCCGAGCCACAGGGCCTTGCAGGGTGGCGTCCCCGGTGGCGTCCCTGCCCACCCGTGATCAGAGAGCTGGCAGGGCCGAGGGAAGGAAACTGCCTCCCCTGGCGGGTGAGCTGACGGCGGTGCAGAAGCGCCAGCTTTCCTGTCTCTGGCAGGGCTGCGCCCTGGCCGCCCGGGGGCCGCCCCTGCTTCCAGGGGGACAGCGCGGTGGGTGGGTGTGAGGACGGCAGCCCTGGCCCAGGGTGCAGGTTTTCTGGGAGGCAGGGGGGAGGTCAGGAGTGAGGACGGGTTGGGGAAAGGGGGAGCAGCCGCTGGAGCAAGCCCCCCACTTCCCAGGCCTGAGCCCTCTTGGGAGTGGTGACACCCAGCCTGGCGTCCTCTGTGCGCTCCAGGGACGTCCTCAGCACGAGCTTTGTCAGCCCCCAGTGGGGATCCAGGTCTGGTATGGGGGACAGAGACCACTGGCGCCAGCTCCCTACTCGTGGCCTGCAGTGGCCCCCGGCCTCTCTGTCCCCGACCCTCATGCGTGGACCCTGACGTTCTGGGGAGGTCTTGGTGGTTCTGGCTCTCTGTGTGTCCTGGCGCCGGCGGGTCAGCTCTGTCACCTCTGTTGTGCTGCCCCCGTGTCCCCGGCCCCTGCCACATCCCCATGGTCTGGGGCGTGGCATGAAGTGCATGGGCATGTCTCCTCCACCCTCCTCCGTGCTGGTCTGTGCTGGGCGGTGGGTTGGTTTTCAGCCCCTGGCATGCGACAGAGCGGCCTGTGGCCAGCAAGGCAAACAAGGCACCCCTCCTTCCTGGGGTTCGTGAGGCCTCCTGTCTGGCCACTTGTCCCTCATTCTTTTGGGACTCCAGAGAGACAGGCCGGTGGCAGGGGCTTCAGGCAGGTGCCCAGGGAGGCAGGGAGGCCTGGTTCAGATGGGGCTGGCCTGAGGAGCCTGGAGCACTTCCTTGCGGTAGGAGGAGGGGTCTTTACCCAAGGCCCTAGGTGGGCCCTGCTGGGTTCACAGTCCCCAAGTCCAGAGCAGAGCAAGGCGGGGGGGCTTGACTCGGGCTGGCCGACAGGTGGCAGGTGGGAGGCTGCCTGAGCCCTTCCTGCAGGACCAGGCCCAGAGATCTGTGAGACCTGACTCCAGGGTGGGGTGTCACCTCCCGGGTCTGATCCGTACCTGGAGTGTGCTGGGGCGGGGGCAGCTGTGGGACAGAGGAAGCCCTGAGACGTGGTCCTGGGGTAAAAGGCCTTCAGGTGGGAGCCAAGGGGGTGGGGCAGTTCCTGTGGGCAGCGGGGTGGACGCCCCCTCCCCAGGGACCCGCTGGGCAGGACGAGATTCTCAGCTTTCGGCACAAGGAGCCATCCCCCAGGCTGCCTTCCCGGGGTGTGTCCGGCTCCCCATCTGGGCTCCCTGGCTCTGCTGATGGAGGCCCTGCTGCCAGCACACCATCCCGTCCTCACCGTCCCCACCCAGCTGGACCCCAGGGGGACCCAGGGGGACCTGAGTCTGCTGGGGTTGCCGAAACAGAGGATCCCGATCCTGGAGACCAGAGGCCGGGGTCCAGGTGGGCAGCTTGACTCCCGGCGAGGCATCTCTCCTTGGCTTGTAGATGCCAATTTTTCCCTGGGTCCGGCCCTGTGGTCCCTGTGTGTGTCTGTCCGGTCTCTTCCCAGGGAGACGCCAGTCGTGGGAGATCAGGGCCCAGGCCGCGTTTTACCTCAGTCACCTCTTTAAAGACCGTATTTCAAGGAGTCATGTCCTGAGGTCTTTGTGTTTGAGCTTAAACATGGATCTTGGGGGACGAGCCCCACTCCTACAGCCTCCATTCTTGAGGCTCTGGGGCCGCGGGGCCGCCGTGGGGACCCCTCCTCCGAGACAGCTCTTCCGTGCTGCCTGGTTCCCTTGAGCGACCCGGCCGGCTGGGCAGGGCTTCCACTGCAGGCCCCGAGCGCCGCCTCTGCCCTCAGGGACTGCAGGCCTCTCGTGCGGCAGAGCCCTCCGTCCTGCCCACCAGGTCGGCCTGTGCCTCCAGCCCTTTGGGACGTGGCCAGTGCTGCCACATGCTCATGCAGAATGCAGGACAGTCCTGCTGTCCCACTCAGCTGGCCTGTGGCTGCCCCCAGCTTGTACACGCTGGACGGACATCCCATCCTGCTCTGTCCGAGCATCTCAGTGATAGACTGGAGGCTCCTGTCCTGGCTGCTCCCCCAGGTCCCTTCGTGCTAGAGAAGTTATGGGGTAGGGGGTAGCCCAGCCCTGGGGGAGGGGAACGGGTGAGTGCTGGTGGGCTGGGCGTGGTGTGCAGTTCCTGCAGTGGGAGGGGACAGGCGTCCTTTTTGAAGCTCTCCTTGGCAACTCCAGGGGTGCAGAAGAGGCTGGCAGCTCAGAGGGGCTGGACTCGGGTCCTGGCGGGCTGGGGAGGGGCGGGCTCCAGGCCTGCAGGCTGTGCCTGGAGTCAGGGCAGGCTGGCAGCTGCAGGGGGCTGCGCCAGTGCTGGGTGGGGGGTACTCGGACCTTGCTGCGCCCCATCAGCGGGAGCCAGGCGAGAGCAGGCAGACTCCTGGAGGCAGTGCTGGTGGGGACAGGGCCTGCTCTGGGTGGTGGTGGAGGCTCCAGCTGGGCAGCTGGGGAGGGCCAGGGAAGGGTGGGGTGGGGTCAGCTCCATCCATCCAGGTGGCCCCTCTCCTGGCGTCCTGCCCATCCCTCCACACTGCCCAGGAGGGCCTGGCCCGGGGTCGTGATGAGCGGCAGTGCTGCTCGAGTGGCTTCTGAGGGAACCCCGGCCGGGGTGCGTGGCGTAGGCGGGAGCCAGCCAGGCCCCTCACCCAGCAGTGGTCTCCAGGCGGTGCCCACGGCTTCAGAGAAGTGCCGGACAGAGTCACGCTGCGCCTGCGTGCGAGTCCCGGCCAGGTCCCGTGAGACGGAATTCGCACTCTTGTGCTGTAAGGACAGCTGAGACTGCACAGGTCTGGCTGAGGAAGGTTCCGGCACTGCCCCCCCATCCCCCTTCCCACTGTGTCCCTGTCCTGGCTCTCCAGCTTCCGGCGCCTCTCCAGGGGCACTGGGGCAGCCCCTGCGCGCCCCACAGGCCTCTTCCCACAGGGCTTTGATCCCAGGCGTCGCGCCGTTGGGTTTTCAAAGCATTCATGGCCCTTGTTTGTGTCCTCGACTGCTGGCTGGATGGGGAGGTCTCAGCGTTCTGGGCCTGCTGGCCTTTGAAGCTTCCTCTTGTTAATCTTAACATCCCCCCGAAGCCCACCCCACTCCAGCAAGCCCGTGGCCCTCCGAGCCTGGAGCGGCACGGAAAGAATGCCGGCACCTGCTGGCTGCTGCCTCGGGCCGCGGCTGGTTTCTGGACACAGCCAGGCCCTGCCTGCCCAGCCCCCCACCTCTCTCGGGTGCAGAAGCTGATGAGTGGGGGGCTGTCAGGGCCTCGGCCTGTGGCCCTGGAACGGCACCTGTCCAGCACCCATGCTGGGACGTGTCGGGGTGCCGGTGACCTGTCCTCATCCCACTCTGGTGCCATGAAAGTGAGGCTGGTCCCTGAGCAGAAGCCCTGCTTACTCCTTTGGGCGGGTGGGGATCAGGGAGGCCCAGTGAGGACCCCCAGGCTGGGCGTGGGGACCCTGCATGTGGCGCCCACCCTTCTGGGAGGAGCTTGGCCGGCAGACAGGTCTTCCTTGCCCAGCTGAAACCTGAGCGCTGACTTGGAACCTCAGTGTGGGCTTCCCCAGCGGTGACGGACCCTCCACACAGCACCTGTCACCTGGGACGCCCAGGCAGCTTGGCACAGGGTCCTGGGCTGGAACTTAGTCCCCCACGGCACCCTGGTGTCCCAGTGGGTCTCTGTGCATCGCCACAGCCCATCAACCCCTGTTCTTTGCTCCACAGTGGGTGAAGGGATGTGAGGAGGCCCCCTGCCACCCACTGTCCCTGTCCCCAGGCCCACCCATCCAGTCCTCTGTGTCTATCCACCTGCCAGACAGCTGGGTCTTACCACACAGCTGGGTCTGGTGGGTTAGAGTGCCTGGTGGGCGTGAGGCCATCGGGTGGGACGGGCAGAGGTGATGAAAACGCTAGAATTCACAAAGTGCGAGAACTTTCTTCTCCAGCCGGTGCTTTCCCATGGAGGGTTCCTGTGGTCTGATGGTGCAGTGGGGGTGAAGCTGGGGAGTCTCGGGGTGCTGCACAGATGGGTCCCGCTCTGGAAGCAGGGTGCTCTGCCCATGGTGCCCACCAGACCCCTGATCCCCCTGCCTTCCCTGCAGGCGAACCTCTTCCCTGCTGCCCTCGTGCACTTTGGAGCCGAGGAGCCTGCAGGTGAGTGGAGCCCTGGCTCTGCAGAGACCACCCCAGCCCCTCACTGGGCCCTGCCTTCGGCTTGTCCAGTGCCCAGAGCAAGCAGGCCTGGAGGTCATTTGTCCTGGGGAGGCATTCGCGTCTGGGAGGGAGACCTGTAGCTCCCAGTGCTACCTCCCTGGCAGCTGCGGGCTGGGACAGCCACCCTAGTGGCCACACCCCTCCCAGAGCTGGTGGGTAGATGGCGAGTGGGTCCCCTCCTCTGAGGCTGGGGGTGGGCTTGGCTTTTGCTCAGGTCTCTACCTGGACCCCAGGCTGTTGGAACACACTGTGTCCCCTTCTGCCGCTGATGTGCTGGTGGCCAGGTAAGCATGGGTGGGGCTGGGGGCTCCTGAGCGGTGGTGCCCCCATGCTGGACTCTGGCCTCTCATCCCCAGGTGCATGTCCAGGGCCGCTGGGTCCCCATCCCCATTGCCAGCCCCTGACGCTGCAGCCCTCGAGTCCAAGCTGACTGCTGAGGAGGGGGTGATGGGCCCCCTGGAGCCCACCCCAGGCACAGCCCAGCCTGTGAGGAGGAGCCTGGGCAAGGTGCCCAAGTGGCTGAAGCTGCCAGGTGCCTGGGGCCTCGGGCAGGTGGGCAGCTGGGCGGATGGGAGGCGGGAGCTAGGCCTGTGGTCATCCTGGTATTTCCACTGCAGCCAGCAAGAGGTGAGAGCTGCCAGCCCAGGAGCCCATTCTGCCGGCCTCAGGACCCCCAACCCCTCACCCTGGTGGGAATAAAGACTCGCGCTTCTCTCGAGACCCTCCTGTCATGCTTTCTCTAGAAAGGGCCCCCACAGTCCTTCCTTTTGTCTGATTAATATTAATTACCCGCCTAGGAGAGCAAAACCATGGAGAAAGCCATTCTGGGCAAATGACCTAGTCCTGGGGCTGGAAAGTTAGGCCACCACCACCCGAAGGGCAGGGCTGGGTCTCTTGGTGCCCCTGGAGTGGCTGCAGGGCCTGTCTGTCTCCCTGGCAGGTCTAATCACTTCCTCAAGGGAGCTTCGAAGTCCAGAGGGGAGAGGGCAGCTCTACCTGCCCAACCCCAGCCCCACCTGGGCCAGCCTGGCTGAGTGGGAACAGAGGGCTGCTGTCTGAGTGGTGGGGGCTGGGCAGCCTCCATAGGACCTCCCAAGGCTGCCCGTGGTCCCCAGGGCAGCTGTTGTCCCTTCTGCCCCTGGGCTGGACTCTGCCCCCTTCCCCTTCCCTGTCCAGCCCCAGGGTGTCGAGTCTCCGGACGGCTGGCACCTAGCTGGGTGTTTCCATCCTGGGCTAACCAGGGTCCAGGCAGCTTTGGGAGGTAAAGGGAGGTAGGCCCCAGTCACCCCATGACACTGCAGGGCAGGGGTGGCCCAAGACCCTGTATGCTTCCCTTGAGTTGGCACAAACAGGGCTGGCCTGCCAGAGGTCCCTGGCAGCTCCCTGTCTGCGAGGGTGGGCAGTGGACACAGCCGGAGGCTGACTCGCACCCTCTTCAAGCTGGGGTCTGGGGGCCTTTCACTCCAGCGTGGCCTTAGGCCAGGGTCCCCCTCAGCCTGTGCACCCTGGTCCCACCCATGGCTGGTGGGCCCGGTGGCCTGAGACTGGCCACAACATTATTCATGGGAGCGACTGCCCGCTGGTGGCAGCTCCTGCGGACAGAAGGCCCCTGTGGCAGGAGTAACATTTTCCAGGCCGGCGGCCACATGTGCGAGGGCTCCAGTTTCACAGCCCTGCCCAGGGCGGGGCGGGTGCACACATGCTGTTTTTTATTCTGTCCGTGAGGGCTTTGCTTTCGTCCTACCAAGGGTGGGTGGGGCAGGGGAGGGTTTAATGCAACTTGACTTTGGGTGATTAATGGCAACAAAGCCCAGCCTGGGAGAGACAGTTTTGATTTATTGATGTTGCTTTGTAAGAACAAGTTTATAGCTCAGGGAAGGCTCTTATGAGGGAATACCAAGGGGCTGAGAGGTCACACACCGGCTTTGTCACTGGGTGGCAGGAGTGTGGACAGGCGACCCACCGCTGCCTCACTGGGCGAGGGTCCCGGCCTTTCCCCAGCGCCTGCGGCCCCCCCCCCCACCCGGGATCGGCACAGCAGGCGCGGTTTCCCTGTGGGCCTGTCCTCTCGAGACCCTCCACCACCCTGTGTCCCGCAGCAGAGGGCAGAAGACACCAGGAAGGTGGTGGCTTGAGTGGCCCTGCGCTCTGCAAAGGTTGCAGGGGAGTCTCCGGCATGTGGTGCGAACTCTGGTTTGAGTCTGCTCCAGGCCTCTCAGGTCCTTCCCTGTCTGAAACTGGGGCCACAGCAGAGGTCCTGCTTCCCTGCGGCAGCCTCCGCCCAGATGGAGAGCCCTAGAAGTCCAGGAGCTGTGGGGAGAGGAGTGCTCAGGGCCGCCCAGTGGGCATGGCTCCCAGCTGCGCCCACCTGCACGCACCTACCAGCTGAGGGAGCACCTTCTCCAGCTGGTCCACGCCCACCTGGGTGACGTCCTCCGCTTGGGCCTGCCGGACCCCTCGGACAGCTGCTTCTGCCAAGACAAGGGGAAGTGAGCGGTAGGAGCCGGGGGCTCCCCACCCGCACCCGCTGGCAGCCCCGAGGCGGCAGCTGTGGCTCCTGACACAGCTTTTCAGGGCACACACAGCTCAGGTGCTGGCTGGAAACAGGGAAATTTTCATCTTGGTTTTCCCACTGAAAAAACACAAAAGGAACTGCAAACACTCTAGCCAAGCACGGGTCCCTCAGCTCACCCACAACGAAGATCTTCAGCAATTCCACCATGAGCTGCAGTGCGTCCCCACTGACTGCAAGGCAAGGGGGGCAGGTTATTGGGAACCCCACCGCCCAGGCCAGGGCTCCAGACCCTCCCCAAGGCCTTTGCCCCCGGCGCCCCCACACCTTTGGTCTTGGCGTCCTTGAAGTGCAGGTGCAGCAGTTTGTTCACCAGCTCCTGGCAGGGGAAGGGGAGGGAGGGTCAATGCCGGCCCGGCCCCTCCCAGCCTGCAGGCCCCTGGGGTGCTTCACTGGACACCGGCTGTGATTTCCAGATGGAAATGCGCCCCACCCTAGGGACTCTCCCAGGGGAGGGGAGGGGGTGCCGAGTGAAGGAAGCTATGTGGGGTGAGGCCAGATCTGCTTAAAGAGGCTGGTGAGAAGGTGGCTGAGAAACCTCCCTGCGGGAGCGAAAGCCACCCCTTGGGGCTCCAGGGACGGAGGAAAGAGGGAGTCCAGCACAGTCTCACACTCCCTCCCATCCCTGCCAGGAGGATCTGGGGGCTGGAGTGTAGCTGCTCCCCAGGTGGGCCACAGCCTCAGACCTGCCACCAATACAGCCTCGTGCCAGACCGTCCTAGGTGCTGGGTCGCCCCACTCTGGAGCTGACACCTGGTGCCCGGGGGAAGCGCAGAGCTTGGCTTGTCCAAGCCCAGGAAGGAAGTCAGTGAGGCTGGAGTGCAGTGCCGTGTGGACAGGCCAGGCACGGGGCCTGAGGGCCTGTTCAGCTTCCCTTGGCAGGAAACCAGGTGTTCTTTCTGGGGTTTGAGTGGAAGGGCAGCGCTGGCCTTCGGAAGGACCTCTGTGGCACTGAGGTCTCGAGAGGGAGCAGGGAGGTGGTGGAATGGGCCTGTCTTCGGCCCCTCCAGGGGCCAAGGATGGGGACAAGAGGACGTCCAAGCCCAGACTCTGCTGTGGCTTGAGGCCCTGAGGGGATGGTGCCACTTGGTGGAGATGGGGGCACACAGCTGGAGTGTGTGAGCTGTCGGGGTGGAGCGGCAGGTGGGCTGCTGGAGCCCAAGCTGGGACTCTGGGTGGGCCCTTTGTGAAGCTGTGAGACCCAGTGAGGTGCCACGGGCAGGGTCCAGCTGGAAGAGGCTGGGAAAGGAGCCAGCACAGAGCAACGGGGGCAGCAGGGAGCACTCAGGAGTCCAGAAACGGGAGTGTTCAGGGGAGGGTGAGCAGTGGCACCCAGCGTAGTTTAACAAAGCTGGGGAGTGGACACCAGGCGAAGCCCTGAGGTGCAGGGCAGGGCTCACCCCAAGCCCTTCACAGCCCCCCACAGCAGCAGGGGTCCTTGTCAGTGACCACGCCAGCTCAGTGCCACCTGCTGGTCCTCCCTGCTGCTTACCATGGAAGGCAGCAGCAAAGGCACTGCCTCCCACCTGCTCCTGGACCCCAAACACAGCTGCCCCAGAAGACCACTCTGGAGAGCGGCCACTGCTTGAGGCTGTCGGGACAAGCAAGGAGTTGTGCTGTACACAGTGGCAGTGACCTCGGGGGAGGCAGGATGAGGGAAGGCCCAGCACTAAGGGGCAGGGGCCTAGAATGCACCCAGCCTTTGCATTCCCCCCACCTCGTTACCCCAAAGCTTAGCCTTGTGTGTAACCACCACGACCCCACCCAGCTCTGTCCAGAGCCCTCAGGCAAGGACTGGCCGCCTCCTCAGGACTCTAGCTGTGGTCGGCTTGGTGGAGAGTCACAGACCGGCTGCTGTAACTATTTGTGACCTGGTGTGTTCTCAACCACCCTCTGAGGTGACTTTCCCTGTCGGGTCACTAACCCTTTCTGGGCAAGGCCAGAGCGCTAGTCCCAAGCTGCGAAGGGATGCTGCAGGTAGGATGAAGCTCCCCATTATCGGTAGAGAGCCACTCCGAGGTCGAAGTCCTCCACCAGGGAGGGGTGCACAAGGGGCTCAGGCCCTCCCTCCCCAGGCCACGAAGGCCCACGAGCCCTCCTGACCTCAAGGTAGCTCAGTGCCTCTCAGCCCCCAGGCAGAGCAGTGAAGGGTCTCAAACCACTCTGCCTGCCAAGGGTCCCCTGCGCAGGTGCCCCTGTGAGCGAGCTGCGTTCCCAGGCGCAGGGAAGCCCAGACCCTGGGCCAGACGGCATAGGTCAGTGCCCAGCCCTGCTCCGTCCCCTGACTTCTCCGTGCCTCGGTTTCCCCACAGGCACGCGGGGTTAATCTGTGCCAGGTGTGCCGCCGAGGAGCGCTCAGAAGCCCACGGCATCCAGGCGGGACCTGGCCACGCGGACGCAGGCAGAAGGGAAGGTCCGACTGGGCGGTTTGGGCAGGTCCTGCCGCATCCCACCTTCCCAGGGGAGGAGACCCCCGGGCGGGGCGGACGGCGGCCCCGCTCCCCTCGGAGCCGTCGTCCCTGGCGGGTCTGCAGACCCTCCCGCCTCACCGCAGTGCGGGCCGCCCACCCGGTCCACCCAGAGCGCGGGGCGCAGGTGGGCAGCGCGGTGTCACGTGGGGGCCAGGCCGCAGAGTTCGCGCCGGCCTCGCCTCAGCCCGCTGGCCCTCACCTTACGAAAGCCCGCGCCGGCGCCCTCCATGACTACAGCCTGCGCCCGTCCGGAGCCCCGCCCTGCGCCGCCAGCCAATGAGCCCAGAGCGCGCCCTCGGGAGCCCCGCCCCGCGACGCCAGCCGGCGAGCCTGGAGCGCTCCCTCGGGAGCTCCGCCCCGAGAATCCCGCCAATGAGCTGAAGGCTGCCTCGGAGCCCCGCCCTGCACCGCCTGCCAATGAGCCTGGAGCGCGCCCTCGGGAGCCCCGCCCCCGGGCCCCCAGCCGATCACTGGAGCGCGGCCTCCAGAGCACCGCCCCGGACCCCTGCCAGTGAGGCCAGAGGGCGCCCTAGGGAGCTCCGCCCCCAGAACCCCAGCCAATGATCCTGAGCGCGCCCCCGGAGCCCCGCCCCCAACTCCCCAGCCAATGATCCGAAACGCACTGCCTCTGCTGCTCCGCTTGCGGCCCTCAGCGCGTGCCTGCCCCTTCGTCCTTATTGGCTCGCGGCGAGCGCCGCCTGCGCAAAGCCTCCCGGGAGTCGTAGTCCTGGGGCCCCTCCCGGCGCGCCCCGCTCTTCCTGGATACCGAGGCGCGGCGGCGCGAGAGCTGGGGTCGGGTGGGCCGGGGCACGTGGCGCTCCTGCCTGCTCCCTGGGCCGCGGGGCCCACGCACCCGCGGGTGGCCCCGACCGCGCCGCCCAGTCTCCCCCGAGCCTGCGTCTAGCCGGCCCTTGACCTCCCACCAGGGCCTCCACAGCCTCGGTGCCGGGGGACGCCCGCCCTGGAAGCGGCCTGGCTGCTCCTCCTCCCGGCTGCCGAGGATCGCCCCACACGGAGGGGCCCCCTTCCTAGCGGCTGTCCCTGGCGCGCGGCTCCGCACAGGCATTCAGGGAGGGGTGCAGCCCCGGGACCGGCGGGGAGAGGAGCCTGGGGCGGGTGGCCCTGCGCCGGGCGCACTCTCGCTGAGGCCCGACTCTAGGAGCATGCGGGGGTGGCCCTGCCCACACTCCAGGACATGGAGGAGTTCCGGCGCTCCTACAGCCGCCTGTGCAAGGAGAGCGGGGCCGAGCCGCAGGAGGCCGTCCTGCAGCAACTGCACCAGCTTCCTAGGGACCGTCTGGACCTGGCCACGCAGAGCCTGACGGTGGACACCTGCAGGGCCCTGGGCAAGCTGCTGCAGACAGAGGCCCTGTTGAGGGAGCTGGTCCTGAGCGACTGCATGCTGAGCGAGGAAGGTGGGCAGGCCCGGGCGCCAGGGTTGGACTGCTGCTTGTTTGCTGCCACAGGGGTCCCTCTTTCTGTAGCACAAAGTGAGCAACAGCGTCCCTTCCTGCAGCCTGAGAGTGGAGAACAGTTTTTCTTTGTAACAGGAGAAGCCTTGAGGTTCCTGTGGGCTGGCCAGAGTGTGGGTTCAGCACCCTGCTTGTTGCCTAGCAAGGGCCGCAGATGCTTCAAACGTAACTTCACAGCATTAAGTGGGGAGACTCATTCCAGCACGAACCCAGATCAGTGGGACCACCAGGACAGTTGTCCCTCCGCTGAATGTGGGGAGCTTACCTGAGATGAAGCACCCATTTTCCCTTCCTCTAGGCCCTGGGAAGGGATTGGGGCAGCAGGGGCAGGGAGTGACCACCCTTCCCCCCTGCACAGGGGCCACATTGCTGCTCCAAGGGCTGTGCACCAACACGGTGGTGTGGCTTCTGGACCTAAAGGTGAGCATATCTACACTCGGGGGTGTGCCACCCAGGAGTAAAAGTGGAGCAGGGAGACCCCAGGTCCCAAGGACTTAGGGGCTGGAAACTGTTGTCTGTGAGTGGTCTTGGCACACAGGGTTCCCAGGCAGTTTTCTGATTGTCTCATACATGTGTGAGTGTTTTGAGGGTATTCACCTAAGCTGAGTGAGCTGGCCCCAGAAAGCTTGCTAAAGTCAGAGAAACCAGGACCCGAAAGGAGCTGCACCTTCACCCAACAGAGCTCCCCCTTGCCTTTGTCCACTGCCTGGCGGAGGCCCTATGGGGCATGGATATGGCATTCAGAACCCAGCCAAGGTGGCAAGAGTGACTGGCTAGCCTGTTCCTGTCCTAGGGCAATAACCTTCAAGCCGCAGGGGCCGAGGTGCTGGGAAAACTCCTCCGACAGAACAAGTCCATTCAGAGGTAGAGTGGTGGTCCCGGCCCCCACCCTCATCCCCAGCCTTCTCTCTGTGTGGTTCAAGGTTGGCCCCAAAGGACACAGTCCTGCGACCCGAGAATTCACTCCTCCAGCCAGTTGTCCACATTTCACATCCACTGGCAGGGAGCAGGCGGGTATAAGTGACGAAGCCCCCCCCCCGCCAGAGACCCCCCAAACCCATAGTCTTCCCGAAGCCCTGGACCCCGTAGGGCAGGCCACACCTCTGGGTGAGCACCTCATGCCTGCCCTCCTGCAGCCTCATTCTGGAGTGGAACCACCTGGGTGCGTGGGAAGACGCCTTTGCCACCTTCTGTGGGGGCCTGGCGGCTAACGGCACCCTGCGGCAGCTGGACCTCCGCAACAACCAGATCAGCCACAAGGGAGCGGAGGAGCTGGCCCTGGCCCTGAAGGGCAACGCCAGCCTCCAGCAGCTGGGTGAGGGCACCCCGACTGCCTGCCTCCCCGGCGGACCTCCGTGCCCCCCGCTGCTCCCCTGCAGCTTCTGGCCTCGGAATGGAAGGGGGGTGGCAGGGCCGGCCTGCATGCACACTGACTGCGTTGACAGCCACAGGCAGGACCCTGAAAGGGAGCACCCCAGGCTGGGCCAGCTCCCCTTCCTCCAGGCACGTTCCATCCGGTGACAACAGGTTTCCATTCCAGACCTGCGCTGGAATAACATTGGCCTTCTGGGTGGCCGGGCCCTGGTGAACTGTCTCCCCAGCAACAGAACCCTGTGGAGGCTGGACCTGGTTGGGAACAACGTCCCTGGAGACGTCCTCAGGGCCGTGGGTATGGGTGTGCAGACTAAGGCGTGAGCCCTTTGGTGGAGCCCTTCTGCGGAGGGAGGGGGTGGCTTGGGACCCCGGAAGCTCAGCCTAAATTAAGGACCGAGAGGAACAGGGACGGAGCCGCAGGGCAGCCGCAGTGCACTTGCTTGGCGCTCGCTGCTCAGGCACCTCCAAGGCTCCTCACGTGCTCCTGCAGTTCCCATGTGACCTGTCTCACAGATGGGGAAGATGAGGCCGCGTGGCTCGGAGCTCTTGCCTGATGGGTGATGGGTGTGCTGATACCTCAGGTGGCCCAGACACAGCCAGGGAAGGGCTTGGCATTTGCCCCCGGTCAGCCCTGAGTTTGTGGCCCTGCATGGGAGCCGGGTACCTGGCCTGTGCTGCTGCTGCCAGCGCTGCACCTCCCATTCCCTCCCCAGCGACTCCCCAGGCTGTGAAGAGTCCGCAGCCGACACCTCAGCCTCGGGCCCCAAGCCCCAAGTTGCCCGGCCCCTCTGTCATCTCCAACTTCTCACTGTCCCCCTCTCTGCCTCCGCACTGCCCTTCCTGTCAAGGTTTCTTCCGACCAGCACAGCTACAACTGCCTGTGCCCCCTTTCCGCATGCTGCCTGGATCTTCCCAGGACGCAGGAGTTGAGCTTAAAGTTGGGCAGTGCCCCTTGACCTTTGGGAAGGAGGCCAAATGTCCCAGGACAGCCCACCTGCCTTTACTTGACGTGCGCACGTGTCCCTGCACCAGGCCCCCCACCGTGTGCGGGGCCCCACCCCACTGAAGCCATCCACCCGCGTGCGCTGAGGAATGCGCCTGCTCCGGTGGGCGAGACACGCCTGTTGGGGTTGATCCCCATGCTGCGAGCTTCCAGGCGCAGGGCCGAGCTGGTGCCGAGCAGCCCCAGCAGGTAACACGGCTCCCCCAACAGAGCAGGCTGTGGACCACAACCAGGACCGGCAGGCCACCTTCCGAGAGAGCCAGGCCCGCACCCACATCCTCAGCAAGGAGGTCCAGCACCTCCGGGAGGAGAAGTCCAAGCAGGTGAGGCTGGTGTCTTCACTGACCTCAGGGTTGCTGCCAGCTGGGGCCTGTGCCCCCCCTCAGCCCCGAGGCGCACCTATCTTAACCTTACTTTGGGCCCCGGCGCCTCTCCCAGTGGCCCATAGTCAGAAAGGAGAGGCAGCCTCCTGGCCTGACCTTCCTGGGTGGGTTTCCCAGAGAGCTGGCGTCTGAGCCCCCAGGCGTCCCTCTGAGTGAGACAGTGAGGCTGTCTGGGTAGGTGTCTGCCCTCCTTCCCCCGGGGAAGGCAGAGTAGGCAGGCTCGACCCTGACCCCCTGTCCGGGCTCTGTCCCCAGTTCCTGGACTTGATGGAGACCATCGATAAGCAGCGGGAAGAGATGGCAAGGGGCAGCAGGTGGGCCGGCCGGGCGGGGGCAGGCCGTGGGAGCCATGGGGGGGTTGGGGGGCGGGTCATGGGGGGCCTGGGCTGTGGATCAGCTGGGGCACCTGGGGTGCAGGTCCAGTCACCTGCCCACAGGTGCACCCGTAGCTTGTGCCTCCCAAGGAGGTGGCTGGAGGGTCAGTGGTAGGTGCCATAGACACTGAGAGGGTCCAGGAGGGTTCTGGGGTTTCGGTTTCCCAGGACCCTCCTCTGCCCACAGGGCGTCGGCAGCGCGCGTGGGGCAGCTTCAGGAAGCCCTGAATGAGAGGCACTCCATCATCAATGCCCTCAAGGCCAAGTAAGCAAGGCCAGGTGGCTTGAGGACACCTTAGAGATGTGCGCACAGGACAGAGTGGGGTGGTAGGAGAACCTGAGTCCTGGTCTCCAAAGCAGAGGTGGGAAATGGGGTGGAACTGGGGCAGTAACCCAGGAAGGCTTCCTGGATGAGGTGAGTGCTCGCCGGGGTTTGACTGGGGGCCTGGCAACAGTGAGAACAGACACAGCGAGGCCTTGGCAAGGCACGCGAAGCTCCCGCTGGAGCGGGGCAGGGCTGGCCCTTCCTCTCTGCAGGCTGCAGATGACTGAGGCTGCCCTGGCTCTGTCGGAGCAGAAGGCCCAGGACCTAGGGGAGCTCCTGGCCGCAGCTGAGCAGGAGCAGCTGAGCCAGTCGCAGAAGCAGGCCAAGGAGCACAGGCTGGAGCAGCAGGTGGGTGGCAGAGTCAGGTGGTTGTGGGCTAGGCGGTGCAGTGGGCAACAGGGTGACCCTTGCCCCATCTCGCCTCAGGAAGCTGCAGAGCGGGAAGCGAAGCTCCTCAGAGACTTGTCTGCTGCCAATGAAAAGAACCTGTCTCTGCGGAACCAGGTGTGGGGGGTGTGTGGGGCCAGGCACCCAGGGAGTCCAGGTGGGGCTGCAGGGATGGGGCTGGAGCTTCCCTCCCATGGTGCCGGCTTTCCAGGTGGACGAGCTGGAGCGGAAGGTGAAATCTCAGCAGGAGCAGCTATTCCTGACCAGGCAGGAGCTGACCAACACATCTGCCGAGTTGAAGATGAGGGCTGTTCAGGCCGAGGGTGGGCATGGGTGGGCTTGCTGCTGAGGGGCCCGGGAATGGGAGCCCTGGGGATGGGGCCCCCCAGAGGACACTCACCCACACTCTGCCCTGCTGGGCTTCCAGAGCGCCTGGACATGGAGAAGAGAAGGTCTAGACAGAGCTTGGAGGACTCGGAAAACCTGCGCTTGAAGGAGGTGCCTTTTTGGTTGTCATCTGGCCTCTGGCCCTCCCTAGTTATCTGGTGCCTGCAGACTGGCCTTGGTGTGATGTGGGGGTCCCTAAAATACACACCCAGTAGGAGCTCCCCTCAACAACCTTGGGTTGCTGGGAGGTGGGTTGGTTGGTTTGTTTTGAGACTGAGTCTCACTTGGTCACCAGTGCTCAGTGCAGTGGCATCATCGTAGCTCACTGCAACCTACAATTCCTGGGCTGGAGCAGTCCTCCTGCCTCAGCCTCCCAAATAGGTGGGAATACAGGCATGTGCCATGACACCTGGCTAATTTTCTATTTTTAGTAGAGAT